TGAGCTTTGATTTTACCTCACAGGATGAAGCTGACGCAGGTCAAACCACCCTCCAAAATGAGAACCAGACACTTTCCTTCAAATGGGCCAGGAGAAACCTTGAGGTGTGCGCCTCGTAGCAATCCAGCCAGATGTGCAAAATATTGCAGGCGTTGCAGAGGCCAAGCGAGTCGAAAGGAAGCAGCTACAGCTTGTATTCTGCGTTTCACTATTTTATTAATAACAGGCTCCCTTCGGCAATGTTCATTATTGATTGAGTCACGTGGCAGAATGTAGGACCTGGCATTCGGTTAACATAACGAAGTTGAAATATTTAAATTAGTTGGCGCTTTCTTACATATTTTATCATCCTAGTTGGATTTAAGTTGTATCGATACGTGCGAATGTTCTCCATGTCCTGCCACGTAGTGTAACCAGCGTCATCCATCTAAATCAAACGACATATTTTGACGCAGACTGTGTGCAAGTTCCGAAGTTTATGAGGTATGTTCCCGGGTGCCAGCAAGGCTTCTGTGTCACGGACATCTTCCGGCCTTCTTTTTGGAGTGAAGAATATTTATCCGTCTATCGTAAACGTGAATGTAAGCGTGTCTTGAAGACTGCTGGTTACTTCGAAAACAACGTCTTTAAGGAAAGAGGGTTTGTTTACGTTTAGGATACTCTCAGCCTAGATTAGAATCGGACTAATAGCACATAGCCAATCCACGCGTGTTTTGCCAGACGTTCTTCATGATGCAGACCACAAATGCGTTTTTCAACATCAAATCATGCCGCAAACAGCTTGGCCGATCAAGATCTGAGGTCAGTTTTGCTCAAGACGTTTCGCCAGTTTAGAGGCCGTCAGTATTGGAACTCCATGTTTACTTCAAATCCTTCAAACCAAATTGGTGTTTGATTCAAAAATTACTTTATCCAGTAGGACGGTCGGTTAAACATCGTCATCGAGGACCTCAGTCTACATTCAATCCCAATACGCTTGAGCAGAACTGAGACTGAAGCTGATTCAATGTCGCCATTTATCAACAATGGAACGTGCGACCGTGCCATTCAAATCAGAGGTGAAGTAACCAGCGGTTGCAAGCAACAGTAATAATTGTCGGATTGACGTATTCCGTGGTCCCTTTTTGTTGATCTGATCGGCACCATTTCTGGCGTCTGTCACAACGTACGTCGCGACCATTAAAGGCAGTGCTTCGCCTTAAGTGTCTTCAACTTGATGATTTAAAGAGGAAGACAGCATTAGGAACAATTTGGTTGCCAAATGAAAAAGCTCCGGGAATCTTTTTTAATAACGTAGTGCGTGACCCCGCTTTTTTCAAAGCTTTCTTTTGCAGTGTCTTGAATGGCGGTGCTCAAGGATTCAGTTCAGAGCAGTACATAAGGTATGCGTAGTTGTATTAGGGTGGTGGACGTAGCCAACAGTGGATATCGTACCGCGAGGCAGTGAAATTCCACAAGAGAGCAAATGTAATTCAGTAGTTTGTAGTTATGCAAACACACCACATTGAAACAAAACAAATTAGTAAGAAGTCTGGTGGATCAGAGTTGGTCAGTGGCCAGAATAAACTGAATCAGATTTTGAATACAACTCAGAAGGCGAAATATAGTTATTAAAGGAAGAACGTACTAGGTGTCTACGTTATTAGGAAGATGACTGTTGTGACACGTGACTGTTCCCTTTTCTTCTGCGAACCCACATAGCGGGAACCATATCATGATCAGTTGGTCCGGGGGACTTTCGAAAATTTCTTACGATATTCGGCCGGTCGAATTTTGTTTCATCTCTAAAATACCCAAAAATGTGTTTTGTGAAATGCAACCCGCTTTGCTACAAATGTATGTATTAGGCAGTGCACTGCTCCAGGCAACTTGGTCCTGCGGAAAAGTAGAAGTTGACATCAGGTGTCCTTGTTAAAGCTGGCTTCTTATGGATGCTTCACACGGAAGCACAACAGTCTAGCGTTTGCCAACCGACAGGTATTTACAGCAAAACGCATGTTTAGATGGATAGGAGGTTTAGCAGACGAATTTAACCCGGGCGAGTAATTTGACGCTCGGTATTTTTGCAAGGAATCCCGTTGGACCTGGTGCATTATACCTTGCGTTTTCATCGAAAAGTAATACATGAATTATTTTCTGAGTCATTTATGTGACAGATGCGCAAAATCGGCACTGCTGGGGGTGCCACTCTTCCAGCGCTTGTATTCATAGCACACATATACCCTAAAATGTATGATGATTCACACCACTTATGAGTAGAATAAATCATCAACCTAAATCCATCATCAGACCACTCACATATATTAGGCACGTCAGAGCAAAAGTCAAAATGGATTATTAGAAACATCTTGTCCCGTGAACGGATGTACATGACCCTCATCCTTTAACATGCCATGTAAGGATTTAACGAGTTCTGCTTCATTTTGGTGTAAAATTTTTTAGAGGAAACGGTGTTTGATAGGCTCTCTTCGGTCGCGCTTGAAACAAATCACCCAGCTTTTGATTGTAACGATCCACGTTGGGCGGGTTATACCCGCGGCTTTTGTAAAGTGGAGCGTAAAGGAGTGCATCAACTGTGGCCGGATACCGACGTACCCTGGTATGCCATCACATAGTTGGCGTGATGATGCTGATTGCAGAAAAGTATATTTTAAGAGTAATTTGGGTTTCACAAGCACTCATCTGATGATAAAAGTAAACCACTGGAAATAAAAATTTCACATCTACACAGGTGTATCCGCTAGATTGATTATTTTTCCGACCATGAACGTGGCAATCTCGCGGAAGTGATAGAATGTCCATTGATGACAGAGGTTTGTGGTGATTTTGTGTAACAATTGTAACTTGCCAACTGTCACGAGTAAGATCGCTGATTAACCGAAGGCCTTTATTTTTTATTAGCAAGCCCTTCCGCAATTGGTCAACGCCGAACGCATTGGTCTATAAGGTAAACGCAGTTCCGGGAGCGCACAGTAGCATACCACATTTGCAGAATTAATGTTGCTATTCACCAGGTCCTGTCGCTACGACCAACACCATAATAAGAGTATGATGTACGTCTCTGTTGGCACTAATATAAAAAAGTCTATTAAACCTTTAAGATGAAGTAACAGCGGGGAATCTCGCTCCTCTGTATGTATTGCAAGCTGAGGTGAACCAGCTTATTTATAAATATATATCACAAAAAATGCATTGATATTGACACTGGTGCTGAAGTACGACAAACTTCATCAGATTTTTTGAAACCTCAGTTAAAAAAGAACCAAAGGTGTAGGTGATGATGGACACCTTATTCCTGCATTATGAGCTACTAAGACATCCAAGAGCTCAATCAGACAACTTGGGAAAAAAGGCTGACAGCAAGATATCCACTGAGATCGATGTGATGACATTTCCAGCATTCTGTCCAGCAAAACTCAGAGGGCACACGGGAACCCTAATGTAGAAAGTACCAATACAGTTTGTACCCACATTCACACCTTCCGCCGTCTACGCCAGGCACGTCTCAGTCAGGCACGGAGAACGACGGAGAACAGCAACGATGATTCATTTGTGAGAGTTCAACTCAGCAGGTTTCTTCAATCGCTAAGGTTTTCGATTTGCGCAAGTATAATCAAACGTCAATTTTCAAACCCATGGGTGCCAATATTGTATCGCAAATAGAATAAAGTTTACCCGGAATTAGATAGAATTTCTGCGCATTTAGGAAAGCTAATCTGTTAACCCAGCATCCAGAATGATCCGAATTCTTTTTCACGGGCATAGGTCCCCGAACCAGTTGTGTGTGTGGCTCAGCATGATGAGGGACTATTGTTCTGTGCACAAGTTTACTTGATTTATATTACAATCGAATGGTTCCCCCAAGCCCTCATTTGCGCCAGGTTAAACTGAACGTGTTTGTTCTATATGTCGTGAATTAGTTTGTGAAAGATGATGATGTAAAATGTTTGTATGTAATATTTTGCGATTCTGCCAATAGCATCTGATTTTACCAATTGAGGCCACCTAAAAACGACTTTATCCGTCAGCTTGTTAACTGTAGGCGCATCAATTAATGCTCAAAATCGCAGCGCTAAGGCATTTCAAATCAGTGCTAGTTTCACTGATCCGGCCGCGTAGAGTTTGAGTCGTCTAGTCCCCATCGTCCAGCGATCAATTAAGCCGATATTCAAAACGTTCTATTGTCTTCACAAATTCACAGGTAACAAGTAGTTCTTCGAAGGATACTCCGTCATTTAGAGAATTACACATTGTTAGACTTCAGAGGAATTTGCTTCAAATCACTCCCCATGAGTGTTGAAGACCCGACTGATTTGGGTTGTAGGTAGATCTACAATATTGTACCGGATGTCTTTCTCCGGATTTACAAACCCTTTTTTCCACTCGTTCTTATTCAGATTTTCATCCCATTACCTAAAAATTGCTTGTTACACTGCAAAACGATGAAAGAACAAGCGAAGCCATCCACACAATCCTGCTTAATTTGGTGAAACAGCGAATTAAAACGAATCCCTCCCGTTTTCCGATTGGCTGTTCGAGAAAACATGTCTGACCAATTACATCTGCACTGACCGATGAACAAATATTTGTGAACACTTTTGAACAGCCGTGGGGTTTCTGTTCACGCAAGCTGTTTTTCTTCAAATATTTTTCTATCCCAGTTTGTCCTATGATTGGAAGTTATTTAACCCTGTGTTTTCTACACTGGTATTTTTCAAGCGTAGAAGCTGCACCGATCAGGTACGTGTTCTAATTGCCATAACACTGACGAATAAGAAACGAGACTATGCTTATCAAACGGGAAACCGAGCTCAAACGTCAGAAGCGGGAGGCGCACTCACAAAGTCTTAAACTACATCCTGGTGTACGCGTCCGTTTCGATCGTTACATTCCTTCAGGGTTATTTGTACATGGATATTGCGATCGGCACCCCAGGCCAATATCTAAGTTTGGAAGTAGATACTTCGTTTGCCACTTCGTTCGTTGTCACACTTGCCAGCTACAAAAAAGTGCAGTTCGAAAACTATAAGATTGAAGCCTCAGCGACCAAAGCTTTGGGCGCGCATGCTTCCAGTGCTGTTGGCAATCGACAACTCGAAGGACGGATCAATACCGACGTGTTACGGGTATGCAAATTAATCAGTTGTCAATGACTGAGTGCAGATTGGCGAGTACATCCATCCAGGATTCACTTTTCAGATGATCGAAAAGTTGCAATGGCGTCCATATTTTCTCGACCATTTTTCTGGAAAATTGGGACTTGCGCCTGTTTCCGAAATCCTGCCGGAAACTTTTGCTCAGTCCCTTCTAAGGCTGTTTCCACAGGAACCTGTATTCACACTCTGGTTTCGCCCGTGAGTTCTCAAAAGTCCGGCTTTTTTTGTTACACATGAGTTACAATGAGTCCGCAATTTCAGGCATCACATTTTATGCAGCGTGTGTGATTATTTACCCGAAACTCTTTGCTAAACCACCAAGTTTGTCAAGGAATTTACCATGGATATCATACACAAATGTGTTGGAATAACTGGAACAGTCCATAAACTAGTGCATTCGGAAATTTATTGGATCACTGTCAGCTTTGTAACTTTGATGGGCAACAGATCACATAGCAGGTCACTCAGGATGGCACCACAAGTGCGGACACAAATTCGCCTTTTATTTAGTGATTTGGTGGATATCGTTGAACACAATATAAGAAAAAGTACAAAGTTTCCCTGTAAGAGTAGTTTCGCGCAGTGTGAATGGAGCACCTAGAAGTCAACTTAAGTGTTTTCAGCACATGCCCGCAGTACAAAATCAGCACTAGAAGCGGCCAAATAAAAAGGGATAAATGTCAATGAGGTGAAAATTTGATAAAGTTAGTGGTGATTGGTCAAATGGTAGGCGGTCTGCTCGCTGAGTCTGACAGTTGATTTGCAGATGTTACGTCCAGATTCCAGGGGACATCTCCACTGCGCTTTCGGGTGAGCAGTCCCCCTCCTCGAGCTTTCGCTCGGGTGGCTTACGAAGATGGCTGTGTGCCATAATCTGATGGGCTTACCATCATATTTAGACTCTAATGGCTCTTATCGTAATATGTGTTGCGTTGTGGTCTGTATCTCTTACGACGGGCTCACGTGCTTGGTCAGTTCGTGATTTGCATTGCGCAGTGGTCCACCTACCACTTATTTCATGGACCAAGTTCGAACCTTCCATTTTTAGTAGGTTGGCGTCCTTATGCCGATCGCTTCATACCCGATTTGAGTTTAATATTCATGTGTTTCGCTGGCTGATATGCAGTTCTCCTTGGAGCGGGGTCCCCTTTATTTTGGCTAGTTTAGTAGTAGGATTTGTTGATGACAGTTGGAAAGTTCAGTCTAATAGCTTTTCAGTTGCGTTCTGTTGATTTATTGTTTGTTTTCTTGTTCGTCTTGGAGTTTTGTACTTCTGTATTTCGTTTGTTGGTGCTTCATTAGTGGAGTTCCACAATTTCGTGCTCGTTCTAGTATGCTGACGCTGTTCCAGTGGAATTTGTGTTGTTGCCTCTTTATTTATTGCGAAAAATGCGAGTTGCTTCTGTTTCCAAATAGCAACCATGGACACACTGACTGGCTGAAAGTTTAATCCCTTTTTTCTTACGCGGTGTTTTTCACAATACTTGAATTTAATTTTACAGGTCACATTCGTTTTGCTTGCATTGTATTTCCCTTTTGGTTTCGGTGATGCTCCTGACTGCTCCGGAATCTGTGACCCTCTGCCAAATGTTCCTAATTGATGCTCAAGCTTCCTGGTTTAATTGGTAACGATACAAAACTTCAGAAATCTCCAGAAACAATTGTCTCGGTAGCCGGTTCTTTGAATGAGTTTTGAAAATTTTCCATTTTTGTTTCCACCGGATTTCAAGGTGTTGCTGCGTGTTGGAGTTCGCTTGCTTGGTGGCCGATTGGAGCTCTGATTATACCAGTTTAGGTAGTCGCTTCAGTCATTCACAATTTTATCCCGATGCATTGTCACTCCGTGGACTTCCGCTTGCATCTGTGTTTTGGGCAAACTTGTGACGAACGTACCTATCACCGACAGCCCTTCGTTGTTTTCCTCCTTCTTCGAGAACTTGGTGTCACCGAAATCGTATAAGAGTAATGTGGCGTCCTTGTGATATTTCCTGACACTGTTGAAGCGCAGAGTTTTGGATTTTTTAACTCTTATATGCAAATATTAGTTGGTTGCAGCGGCTTGAAAATCCTTCGTTCGGCTTCGGCTCTAACAATTTTTTGGAAAAATGTGGCGTCTTCTCACCTTTCAGATAGCGTTGCGTAGTAGTGTCGTTGAGCGCAGCTTAAGCTCTGTCCACATAATGTGATGTGTACATGATGACAGTCATGCGTTTATTTTTCACGAGTAGTAAATTAAATTAGTTAAATTTTTCTACAAATATTTCATCTGATACCTATCGATAACGCCGCGTCTTGACGTATTCAAGACGTATCCAAGACGTATCCGTGTTTGTGCCCTATATCACTCGAAGCACGACTCCACAACTGCTCTCGAATATTGAAAAAAGCATTGGAAAATCTGTAGAACAACTTAACCACCACCATACTACTCACGAATAAGGGACGCATGACTCATCATGGACAAACCCAACTATGTGGACAAAACAAAACCTCCATTCAGCACCACGTGTCGCCGTGAGAACATAAAAATTTTGAGAGAAAAATGACGGGAGACCCGCTGCGATAAGACCTGCAAATCAGCCAGCCTAACGCGTGATTATACAACGCAAGCTGAGTATGAAACAAACGGGATAGGGACGACAATCTACCACAAAAGGAAGGTGCACAACTAGCCTATCACATTAATGGTAGGCGGACCACCAAGCAATACAAATCACGAATGGACCAAGCAAGAAAGAAAATGACCTACAAATTTGCACACCACTAACATTCGTTTTTATTTGACCACTCACCGTTGTGATAATGTCAATCGGGCTTTTGTTGAATGCATCATTCAGAAAGGTACATGGGAAACCTGTTTGGCATTTAATTCAGCGTGTTATTCCCTTTTCGTCTCAGACCTATTTAGCCATCCCACAGGTAAGATTTGTTCATAAAATATGGCTTTTAACATTAGACGACCCATAATTATACACCCCGGGAAGTCACGATTTGGCAGTCATTTGATAGAGGAGACTCAGTTGGAGAAAAAACACCATAAGTGTGGTGGACATTAGACGAAGTGCGAGATCGAACTCTGTGGTCTTAGTGTTACCTTGAAGTATTATATTAAATTTACCAAACATGATCTAATAAAAGAAAGCCCGAATTATTTGTTAAGTTAGCTGACCAAAAATAAGTTCCCAAGGGTGCCCAAGACCACATCCTGCTCAGAAACTATGGAACACTGATCGACAAGCACCTGACATACGGTTGGACGCATTTGAATAAGTGCCGAGCAAAATGGTCGTCCGACTATTGACCAAGCATGCAGATTCGGTCTTCGACGAACCAAGGCTGACTGAAGACAGGACCGTATTCTCCATATAGTGGGAATTAGTTATAAGGTCGAACAATGGTGGTAAACCTGTCAAGTACTGGGTGCTGCAGGCTATTAATGAGTGTGCGTAGTTGATAGAATAACGGACAAGTGCAGTAGTGCGTCAGAAATCATGTGAGAATTGAAAGCCAAACCAAAGACAAACACCTTTCAGGTTTTTCTCGCTTGCTCTCGGATGGAACATCAAAATGTTTCGAGCAGTTTTGCTCTCGTTTGTCTTGCATGCAAACCCCGAAATGCCTTAGGTTTGCAGCATTTATAATTTGATTTTAAGCATGGATGTCGACCTGCAAATGAAGCTAAGCTATTGTGGAATAGATTAGCTTCAGCAATGAACTAGGTCCACACCAAGAATTCCCTGATTTCCTTCCACTGCTATATGCACTGCTAATATGACATGTTTAGCTTACGAAGAGCCAACTAACAGTCGTGGTAAGCCTTCCCTTTTAGTAGTCGTCCCAAGAGGAACCGGGCAAAACTGGATACGTGGCTGGTGAATGGATGGGTAGTTCACTAAGTGCGTATTGGGCACGCTACACATCAGCCCATCTTGTTTGAATCGATTTGCCTCCATCTAGTGGCTACTAGTCGGATAGATGAAACATTCGCATAGCATATTTTGTCACTTCAACGTAAATTAACTTCACCCACATGACAAATCTGAACACAACATCTACAAAACTACATGTTGATTATGCAAGTCCAGGAAAATCAAGGTTCGTCAGCCCGACATCGAAACACACAATTCGACCTTTAACTTAGAGAACACAGTTTGCTTATTACCCACGTGTAAGAGGAAAAATCTGTGCAATGCTATTTAACCGAGTTAGACAGGGTTTAGTTGGAAAACTTGAACAACTACTTATGCGAATCGTTTTGTCTCGGGATATATGAACTCCGAAAAGATCCGGTATGCCTGCCACACATGTGGTTTACAATGGAAACAGTAATACCAGACCAACAGTTCTTACTTTGTGAAATCGGTGAACGTAAAGTACAATTATTATCCGAAATCCGATCGACGGGTGCCATACAAATTTCCAAACATGCAACTTGGTGGTTGATCTCGAGGCCTGCACTGTAATAATAAGCTGGTAGATTAGGTGGGACGCGAAATAAAGTTGTGAAACTCCATATCTCATCAGCAATGTCACTTAAACGTACCAGAAGTGCCACTAAAACAAGTAATCCACACCCTAAGCTTCGAATGTGAAAGTACACTCAGGCCAGCCATACTTTGTGCTTTGACATGTTTCACGCACACAAAGGAACCACTGAATGAGCCAAGAAAATAACAGGCAGGCCTTCTGATCTCACGGCTATTTTAGAGAAGAGGCGTGTTATGCAAGCGAAAGCCAGGCTAAAATCTTTAGAATCACTTGACATCAAAACAGAAAAGACTAGAAGCCGTTGAGTAGCAATGCAGGATGAAAACAAAATCGATTTCATGATTTGTGGCCTATAGTCTATTGATTTCCACGCAGGGATGAAGACGGAGAATACAGAAACGGGATTTTTTCCTTTGGTGGAGTTCATGATTACCGATATGATGGACAGTTATTATACTTTCCCGTGGTGTTCGCCAACTCATGGATAATTCAAGCTACAAAGTGAGTCCAACACTGCTGACAGTATTTTGCAAGGTTCTGAAGTCCACATAGGCAACTGACATGAACATATTTTGTGAAATAGTTTCTTGAACTAACACCGTTTTCTGCATGTTTCGTTCCACATATGAAGGCTGAAACCCTACGCGTAAGACAATATACTACAATGCAAGCTAGTTTTATTCTCTGCCGCCATTGTTTATAACCAGGCCAGTTCCCAACGGTTAGAAGCTTTGAACTCCAGTGACAAACGGATTTGTGAAGGCTATTCGGAGTTTATTGCGACGTTTTTGCTCTCCGGCAATGTATCAATTGTGGGCTTACTCGAATGAAGGCTTACTGGAATGAAAACGAAAACCGTGTGCCATGTATGCATCTAGCCTGCACTAAGACCGCTTAGATTTTTTTCGCCAGTTCCTTAAATAACTGATCGGTAGAGAAAAAAACATTGGTATTCGAAACAATGAGAGAATACTTTCGGGTATAGACAAAATGGAACTTCGAAAGCTGACTTGAATAACTGACGATCGCTTAAAGCTTTTGATCTAGTCATTCTGTCAGAAAGTCCCTTCAAAAATAAAATTTTTCGAAAATAGTTAAATGGTTAAAAAATTACTATTTATATCAAGACTGATCGAAGGATTGTTTGCTCAGAACTTGGATGTAATGCTCATTAGCTAAAATGTCCTTTTTGTTAGTCGCCATTGGTTTCTGAAAAAGTAAAGCCCAATTTATCGAACGTATCAATAATTTTGGAATAAATTCCACCATTCTGAATTAAAAGGTGATGTTTTTAATCAGTTGGTGATTGGTCAGATCTTCTCGCTTGGCAACTGGCTTGCAAATATTTTGTCTACACCAGGGGAGAAGACATCGGCAAAGTTTTGATTGGGCATATTCCATCTACCTACTTGGTTTCAAATTGTTAGGAACGGCAATTGCAAGGTGTTCACGAGGACATTGAAAGTTTGCCCGAACACTGGCATTCCCGACAAACAACTTGTGTATAATGGAAAAACAATTTCTACTCATTGACGATACAGAGGTTAGACACTGCCGTGCATCAAACGCGAAAGGTGAGGCGAAAATAAATAAACCGAACCTGCTAGGTCTTCCAAAAGCCGACAGCGGACCCATTAAATATGAGCAGAGCTCTCAGACAACAACGGACAGGACTTCACAACTAAAAATGGTGAAACTGTACAGAAATCGAAGGAGATGCGTGTGGAATTGGAGGCATAATTTGAGCCATCTGGCCGCAGAAGCAAGTGGTTAGAGCAGACCAATATACAAAGTAGTGCATTTAACCAACCATTCAAACTCAACGGGATCGCCAACCAGTATTAGAAATGCCAAGCGGAGTTACCCAGTGAGATAATCTCATCCTGGGAAATCGGATAGCAACACCAATTCCGAATATATCAATCAAGTTTACGAATAATATTTACGCATACTAGAACATTCACCAGCAGAGTATCAAGTCGAAGGACGATAGATGATATGGCGACACCATTTCAAGACGGACCTATAAGAAAACTACAAAAATGGACGTAGATGGTGGAATATTATCAACTCAAGCTCGATCAGTCAATCGCCGCCTAGATAATTACACAGTGGTGACATAATTGAACTGAAAAGTGTTCCCGCGGTCGCTATTCACCCTCTTATCTAGCGCATTCGGACGCCGTTTGGAATCCAAATATTCTGCAACGTATTACCGCACGCGATTGAATACACAGTTTGGTATCTGTTCTGAAAAACTGATCCAACTAATTGGCCTCTGCCATTATGCGTGTGTTGTGGCAATCTAGCAACTAGCCGCCTAAATTCTACGAACGCCATAAACAGGATGATAAATGCAGCTCTGTGGACCATAAAAAGCCGCATGATCATTTGGGATTTGCTTGGCTTGGTGCAGCAGTAAACTGTGCTATCTCCCACACAATAAGAAGCAAAGGCGAAAAACTATGTATTGCAGGTCAGCAATGTAATACTGAGTAATTGATTGATTTTAGGTTCATATTTCTTTATCTGCAAAGAACTATTGTGGAATTGCTTTTGTTTCAAGTACACCCGTTGGTAATTTATTTTAATTCAATGTCAAACGACGCAATATTTTGCCACAGAGTTGTGTTAACGAGACCACTCATCATCATCATCATCGACACCACGACATCAGTGTTCAACACCGATGCTTCACTGCCGTACAACCATGACTTATTTGAAAGCCTTATTGTAAAGAAAAGGATAAAGGTGGACGGGGCAGGAACTTAGTGCTAGCTTAACACAATCATTTCGAGGTGCCTACACCTCCACACATTCACTNNNTCGGCATAGAACCTGACAACAAAAACGCCCCTGACATCGGTTGGCAGCCATATCTTGTAGTGTCTTCAACCGTGATCCCCTTCATACTCCTCTGCCAAGTCAAGGGTTGGCCACCTCTCTGTTTACGCCACTCTGAGTTGGCCATGGAAAACAGCACTCTCTTCGGCAAACGAGACCACTATCACTTCATCAACCTGTGTTTCACGTAAATTATCCAATACATCCCAGTGTGTTGTGCGGGTGTGGCCACACCGTCAAACCTCAAAACTATCGAGTTCTTTTTGGGACATGCCTGCGTTGGTTTTTATGCCTTGTTCATATATTTCTGACGTTCCAAAAATAGAAAAATGTCGTTATTCTGGTTCTGGAATCTCGATGTCACAGGAGTGTTACTGGAAGCAGAGGTTTTCGGTCACAGTCTGAATTTGATAACTTTTGGTTTGTTGAACGGTGCCAGGATTTTCTGAGGCATACTGTAAACTTTTGTTCCCCGTTAACTCAGTAATTTTAGCCGGACAGCTGGAAAATTCGTAAAAGTACAGTTACAGGTGTCGCTTTAGTTGCACACTTACGTTGCAAACACACGAGAAATCTCCCTGCTTGACTCATTTCCTTCGAAAATGCAGGCCATTTCAAAAAGCCCAAAACTTCCCCGCAAATCTTAATGTGCACTCTGAAGCTACGAAATGTGTTTGCTGCTTAAGGGTGTCTCTGCGATCCGCTGTTTTTTAAAAGCACTGCCTCTACGCCCAGCTGATGAAGAATCACTACTTCGGTCTAGTAAAACATTGGATTAGCAGTGCTGGGGCACTCCAGATTGATCTCAGTGTGATAATTTACTCTTGCTTCATGGGTTACGTTAGCTAAGAAACGGCACATGCCGGTGTACCATCTGCTTTGCAGAGCGCACTTTGCCTAAAATGGGACTGAATAAAAGTTACAAAGTAGTAGACAGACAATGGATTTGCAATAAAGATTAAAATCACCAACTAATTAGTGCGAGTTGACAAAAACCGACTCCCGGAATGCGCATCCATGGGTACTGACATTGGCGGATATATCCCAATCGCTTAGTCAGTGGAACTATTATATTATAGCCAATATCCTCAATGCATAGCATCCATCGCCCACAGTGCTTGGCTAATTCTGACACGCCATCAACTAGAGCCAACAAACTCACTGAAAGATTCCCGAAGCTATCGCTAGAAAACCAAAACATTCAAACTGTGCTAAACCGACTTTTTTTTAGCTAATTCTTGTGGTGTAAAAACTAAAGCAAAGCACAAAATCAGCTTTTTAGTAAAACAGTCGTAAATGGTTACGTGACGCAGCTGCATGGCATAGCATATAAAGATATCACTTTCTCTACTGTACTGTCTCCGTTTCGAGCTGATTAAAATTCCGCTGACTTTGACTCTGTTTGATCTGTTGGTCATCCTTGTGGGGTATGTAATACCGTTGGGGTTCAGTCTCTTGGCATACTTGTTGTAGAATTTCACTGGGAGAGGACGTGGTTTGTCAGCAAGATTGCAACATTCAATTCAGCACTGCAGTTCCTTACTTCTATGGTCCCAGAGAGCAAATCAATCAAATTCATCGTTTGTTGAATTTGCCTGCCGACGGAATTAGTCAGGGAGAGAATATACTGAACTGCGACAAAGCCGATTCGTATCCTCAGTTGCACGTTCAATTTGGTTCGTTGCATGTTCACTGGAGAATGGATGAGATCTGGGAAACGGTAGGTGCATTATCTACAAAGTCTTATAAATATCTGCTATTACCTGTCATGTGTTTGATTCGTAAGGTTGAATGCGCTTGCTAGATTTTAAGACATTTTAGTTGGGCAAGTTGGGCATTTTTTTAAATAAATCATAATAAATCAACCTCCATCAGCCCATGACAAAGTTGTATTATCAAGTGGGTAAAAATCTAACCCGCAAAGAGGCCTATACCAAAAGCTCGTCACACATTTGCCTAGCATTTGTAACCTCCTGACGAAGCAAGCTTGCTTGCAAATCAAGTTAGTCATCACCATTCTGGACGGAATCATTTGTGCGTGCACGGCTGGGTGCCTTTTACCTTTTCGCTGACTACCTTTGTTACATATGTATGTTTTTCGTCCAACTTCATTGGTGTTTATGAAGCCCCCTTCCTCAAGATCGGATAGGTTCATCCGCGATCTGTGTTAGTTTTAAGTCCATCTTGCTTGCGCTTCACTGAACACCCAAGAATCAACAACTGAATGAGCAATATTGGTTGCAAACTGGCACCGAGGTACGGTAACACCTAGTATACCCTGAACACAATGTAATTTGCCAAAATCAGACGACAGCTAACAGGCGTATAAATAATGCTTTGATGGCAATCGTCAGCACCCCTTCTTTGTATGCCAAGTGTATTGGGTATGCTTTATTGCTGTACACAGTTACTTTGTCAAATATTTCACTTGCTCTACCGATGTTGCTTTATAGAAAAGGGACCGAAAATCTTTCGTTTGCAAATCGGGCATTCGCACCAACATTGGTCTGCCCGGTTGGGAATGCGGACACAAACTGATGTACAAACTCTTTGCAGTGTATGATTTGAGAAACGCACGAATTGGACTCGCCGATGCAAGCCGCCCATAGTAAACGCGTCATGCGAGAATTTCGCTTTGTGGAGTTCAATTTCCATTGCATGCTTCAGATAAACCAAGGTTCATTGTAGTACACCATGCTTCCTTCAACCAGGGTGGGGCAGCTTGAAATAGAGAAGAAACGTGGGTAAATTTCGGTTCTTTGGAAAAGCACTGATACCTGCCGATTGATTTTGACTTTTAGGTGATTTCATTCAAAATTTTGAACTGAGCATATCCAGTCATGCATACGAACCGCTATTGTTCCTTGATAACGTTGGACGACCAACATAGAAAAATTGGACATTTAAGAAGATACTGACAACGTACTGGTCGAATACATTGCATTCCACATGCATCACGTTTTCAAATGATTTTTGCGAGCGAAATGGGCTTCAGCGTAAAGGACAATGGAGAGTGAGGCTAAATTTATACAACGAAAACGAAACGGACAGGTAATTTTAGCCCGTCGCACATCATATGTCGATGTGCCGATGATTCAATTGTCTTCACACATTATCGCTTTTTTGATGGTATCTCAAGTTTCTTAACTCACCATTCAATGACATGAACCTACATACACGAGACTGATATTTTTGGACGAGAATAAAGTTTTCTAGACTCTCCAGCTGCAGTCAGACGTTCGGGATGTACGGCGTCTTTATGTGCACGAAAGGCCAAATACGCTCACATGGTGCCCGGATAATTGACAGTGTCACAATTTGAGTGTACAGATGGACAATAAATGGGAAACTGAATTATACACAGGATCAGGTATGATATAACACTCGCTGAGCAGAACGAACACGGCTTCAGGCCAGTAGTTTCTTGAGTAGCAAGGATACTGTATTTATTTGACGATCTTTCAGTTTTCCTATAAGGACAGTTAGAAATGTACGTCCTTTCCCACAGTTTTATCTCGAAACCACGCCACATGCAACGGGAAGTGGTGTGTGACTAAGTGAGATTTTAGGCGAGAATTGTTCGCTGAAATGGGTATAATACGAAAAGCGAAATTGACTGCGCCCGTCGTGGATTGAAATTAGTCCATATTGTGTGGAGAGTTGGAGGGCGGGCTGCAAGTATGGAACGTGATCTATACTAATCCGACTGGTTATCAGAACCATGTTTATGCAGGAAAAAACGATGCATGAACAAAGATGAACGTGATATCTAATGCGCTGGGGTGTTTAGGTAGCACTGCGAAAACAAGGGGACCTATGCTTACGTGTATGCTTTTAAAATGGCGTGGTTATGGGAATGTAATTTATTAGTGTGGTGCCCCGCTTGTGGGCGCCTACTCAGTTAATTTGGGAGGAGAAACATCCAGCGTGTCCAGTTAAAATTTCTGAAGCCAGTATATGCATCAGTGGTCAGGATCTGTGACGTTACTGAATCTTTTTAGAGTTCTTAGTCACCTGCTTGTCTTTAGGCCTCATAAAGTTCATAAACCAGTGAGGCTAAATTTATACAACGACAACGAAACGGACAGGTGATTTTAGCCCGTCGCACATCATATGTCGATGTGCCGATGATTCAATTGTCTTCACACATTATCGCTTTTTTGATGGTATCTCAAGTTTCTTAACTCACCATTCAATGACATGAACCTACATACACGAGACTGATATTTTTGGACGAGAATAAAGTTTTCTAGACTCTCCAGCTGCAGTCAGACGTTCGGGATGTACGGCGTCTTTATGTGCACGAAAGGCCAAATACGCTCACATGGTGCCCGGATAATTGACAGTGTCACAATTTGAGTGTACAGATGGACAATAAATGGGAAACTGAATTATACACAGGATCAGGTATGATATAACACTCGCTGAGCAGAACGAACACGGCTTCAGGCCAGTAGTTTCTTGAGTAGCAAGGATACTGTATTTATTTGACGATCTTTCAGTTTTCCTATAAGGACAGTTAGAAATGTACGTCCTTTCCCACAGTTTTATCTCGAAACCACGCCACATGCAACGGGAAGTGGTGTGTGACTAAGTGAGATTTTAGGCGAGAATTGTTCGCTGAAATGGGTATAAAACAAAAAGCGAAATTGACTGCGCCCGTCGTGGATTGAAATTAGTCCATATTGTGTGGAGCGTTGGAGGGCGGGCTGCAAGTATGGAACGTGATCTATACTAATCCGACTGGTTATCAGAACCATGTTTATGCAGGAAAAAACGATGCATGAACAAAGATGAACGTGATATCTAATGCGCTGGGGTGTTTAGGTAGCACTGCGAAAACAAGGGGACCTATGCTTACGTGTATGCTTTTAAAATGGCGTGGTTATGGGAATGTAATTTATTAGTGTGGTGCCCCGCTTGTGGGCGCCTACTCAGTTAATTTGGGAGGAGAAACATCCAGCGTGTCCAGTTAAAATTTCTGAAGCCAGTATATGCATCAGTGGTCAGGATCTGTGACGTTACTGAATCTTTTTAGAGTTCTTAGTCACCTGCTTGTCTTTAGGCCTCATAAAGTTCATAAACCTATAGTCTGTTAGCTCGGCGTCTAGGATTGAAGCACACTGCGAGGCTGCGTGCCACCTCAGCAGGGTCACCGAGGGACGAATATCGTGCTCTGAGTGAAACAGAAAGGTCACTGTTAGGTAATTGAAAATTCAAAACGGTAACGTATCCTTTGGTACCCTGCAAACTGCTCTTACCGGATATCTCCATAGCCAAGACCCAAATAATTTCATTTCATTCAGAAAATTTCCCTTTGCTCCTGGAAAATCCATTCCTTTCGAGTCAACATCTGTGCAGGGAAGCGCTAAAGATTTGGTACTAATTACAGAGTTGCACAAACCAGAAGCGTTGAACGCGCGTGAAAATGTGACACCAACTCTCATTCAAACGCAACTTGACGTACAGTTTTCTGAAAACAGTCGCAGTGCGCTGGCCAAAAGAGCAATATGGCCTTGCGCAAGAGCTGCTGATCCAGCGAAACTATTCTTTCAGCCTGAAATCTTTTTCTTTTCTTCCTCGATGAGCGAACCCTGCCTAGCATCGCAAGATCAATGATCTGACAAGCATGAAACACTTTTTTCTGGACGGATGAGATAAGATTTAGACTAAAACAATCTTTTAACTATGGAGTGTAACAAGATGAAATGAAGGCGAGTGGCTACGTTGTCCTGGGATAGCTCAAAAGCCTATGTAAGCGTACAGTTTACTGTAACCGGAGGACAGTGGTGGCAATAGTTAAATGGTTCCATCAGCTTTTTGACCCATAAATGGAAGCAATCTGACATTGTGGTTCTCACTGAAATCGATCTACTCAGAATATAGGATTTTGCATTTGGGTTCCGTGAAGCGATTACACAAGGACCTCCAAGGAACGCCGCACCAAACAAAATTATTTGGTCATTTGAGTTATTAATAAAATCAATGAACCTGCTCAAATATGGAACGTATGCAGACTTTGAGCCTTGAGAGTACACATTTGCGCTGTTGGATCAACTGCTACACATGCTCAGAGAGCGTTCTCAGTCCTCCGTGTTCCGTGTGGCGTGGGCGCTATAACTTGGACACCGCTATCTGACTTTTTTTAAAGTTTATCCTTTACAGATCTCCCAGACACGACAAAATGCTTACTAAATATCTGAACAGCGACCCACCAGCCCCGACAGAGTACTGATATAAACGGGAAGGGGCAATGATGAAACACTGATAAATAATAAATTCGATCGCTCTACGTTATGAGATGTGTATCTACTTACTAAAATGGGTACGTACCATAATGAGGAAGAATTTTCACTGACACGCTTTGTCTCATATTTGGAAAACTATTCGCCGCCAATAACCGTACCAAAAAATACATAAGTCGTTGCAAATAATGTTGAGAAAAGTAGTTGGAATGTGAGCCCGAAAATTATGGTCTAATAAATGATATTTCATTGAAAGTTGAACAAAATAATTTCAAAAAAATATTTCCGAAATATATTCTTCATTTTCACTGTGGGAGCCCTAACTATTTTCTCGTAACAAAATTTCGAGGGGAATGGCCATGGACAAAACTATGCTGAATATGATCATTTCTCAAGTTGGTGGTTGAAACAAACTTCATAGTCATGTGACCGGTTTCACCCTGATTAGGACCCATCAGACCTACTCATTCATGAATTTTCCTCAACCTCCTGTTCTACTCGAAACTCAGTTACACGAAATTAGCTATGCACACTCAGTTAAATCAAAGTTGCTTTCCCAAGTGACTCAGCTTATTCTAGCCTAATCTCTGGATTACGATATTCTTCGACTAAACGATAAGTGCTTCGTACAAATCGGGCTGGTTTGTTAGAAATGAAAAATGCTTCAAAGGGATCCTCACAAGCCACGTAATCTAACTGTTGGAGAAAATATTGGTTAGATTCTCCATCGTGTCCTTGAACTGTTACCACAATAGTCCACCTCACTGCCATAAATCATACAACACTTTTTACTCTACTCTTGTCTCATGTCTTGCTTTAGCTCGAATATCAGTATGATGGCACTCTACTTAATGCAAGAAAGATGGTGCGGGACCTACGGGTAGCTGATTTTAATCATATTGGTGATTGACAACTGTTGAGTTGGGCATAGTTATTTTTTTTCAGCCGAATTAGGATGTCTCTGAATGACTAGGTACCGGGTTGGTTATGTCACGCCTGATGTCAAAAGATTCTTCTGCCTTTGCAATTTTTTTGATTCTTATTAGAAAAGGCGATGGACATACATTCGACAGTGTACTAGCACGAAGAGAATCAAATGCAGAGCGATGCAGCATTTTGTTCTCCACTATAACCTCTGCGATTTATCGTGATGGATGCACGTGTGAACAGCAGAGAGCCTCTCGTACCAGATTGACTAATGGTTAGATGATAGACTAACACATTTTCCCAATCTAGTTGATTCGGATTGAGATACATTTGGCGACGAGTACCTTAAATCTGTATGGTATCCTGATAATCCAACGCGAAACGCTCCTGTTCTGCAGTTGTACCTTTGAGCCAATGTTTTTGGTTGAGGTCGT